AGCTATGTTCCCAAATTTGAACTTCATGCCAGGTCCCCAAAGCATTCATTCACCCCCATGGTGCCTTAACACTGAGAACTACTGTTAATGTAAGTATCATTAGGTTTGGTTTTTGTTAAAAGATGTATTTACTTATGCTTACAGAACTGGGGTGTAGGCCAGAGGTGTGGTGGGTGAGAGGGTTCACCAGAGACAGAGTGGGGAGCAGAACAGGCAGACGGACTGAAATACACTGCTGAGGGGAGCAGCGGGCAGGTCAGGAGAGGTCCGCTGCCCCATGTGGGTCAGCTCCCTGGCTGGGAATCGAACTCGTGCTGCAGTGGCTTCTGGGAGCTTCATAGTGCAGAGCTTTAACCCGTTGTGCCACCAGGGAGAGCCCTCATTTTTTTTAAAGAAGGTTGTTGCATAAAGTGAGAAATAGCCCTAGTTGTGCAAGGCAGCGCCTGGTGTCTAATATCCAGGACTCCGATGCCTCCACATCCCCGGACTCCCCCCAGCCTCCCCCCAGTGCATCCTGGGGAGCACTCACTCCATAGAGATGCTGGGAACAGAGCTTCTGAGGCCACAAGTTCAGCAAAGGGTGGTGCAGCTGGCCCTGGCCTCGCCCCCCCGGAGCACCATGAGCCCATCTGCAATCAGAGCAGACTCAGGGTGTCGAAAGCCTGCCACCACCAGATTTGCCTCATGCAGCATCCATTTCCCATTTTACCAGAACCCCTTGTCCCAGACACTGACAGATGACAGAACACACCTACGAGAAGAGTGTCTGAAACAAGGTCAGGGCCGGAGGGCCCGCCCCTCTGGGGCATTGTTGCTATATGTGGGTGCCTGGGAGCCCAGGACAGCAGGGAAGGGGGTCCCCAGTCTGGTCCTGTACACCGAAGCGCGGAGAACAGAAGGGGAAGCAAAGGCACGCTTGGAGATTTTTGTTGTTTTCCGAACAGCATCTGACGCCAAAATAGTCTTAGCAAAGAATTAAAAAAAAAAAAAAGTTGGAAGACAGAATGTAGAACATGTTAGAAATTTCTGAGCAGATGAGCAAAATTGTCAGGGGAGGCAGAGAGGGAGCGCGGGCAAGGTCTGCAGGTGGCAACGGGGACGTCTTCCTGGGCCGCTGACTGACAGGGAGCCTGGCGCTCCGTGTTGGCCAACTTGCAACTTGTCATTGCCTTGGCGGAGAATAAACCCCTCGTCCCAAATCAAACATGGCAAAGTTATGCAGATGACTTTCCGTGCCGCCCGCACAAAGGTTTATGTAATCCTAATTGCTTTTAATATGAAGGTCTCATAATCTGAGCTGTGGCGCATCTTCTAAGCCAGGGATACAGAGATGAAACTTTTTTGCCCCTTGAATCATTGCGAAGGACACAGGTGGCACTGAGACATATTGTTCCTTTGACCTTCCACCAGGGGTCACATTTGGGGGCGAATGGGGAATCCGATTTGGGGACAGACACGAAGAAGGAATGTCTCAAAGAGCTTCTTTATGAATGCTAACGGGGGCCTCACTTTGACGCTGCTCAGGGGCTCTGGCCTTCCTGCCTCTGAACGGGGCCGCTCATCGCATGTGGTCATCATTATGGGGCCCTATTTGTCTAACCTTTACCAGGAAGGAAGTGGGCTTTGGCGCATGTTCCGAACACAAAACGCCCAACTCTTCGCATCCTGAATTTAATTGACCAAGAAGTTGTAAAACTACGGAACCCCGAGTGTCAGTAACAGCACAGCAACGCCGGGTGGCCTGCAGGTGGTGGGAACACGCAGGGACAGCGAGAGGGCGGAGCCCAGGCCACCTGGCGCCCGGAGAGGAGCAGCTTTAGGCAGGAGTCACAGGACAACATGTCTCAGGACTCGGCCCAAAATGGTAGCAACGCATGAGCTTTGTAAACGTCCACCCACAAGTCTCGGCCCTGCATGTCCATCTGTTCCACAGCAACAATGAAGAGGAGAGACGTGGGGTAGATGCTGGCAAGCCCCCCCCCCCCTGCTTTGCAACACAAGCGGGCTGGGAAGGACATTCCTTCTGACCCAGTTTAACTACTTCACAGCCACACGTGGCAGATGGGCGGAGAACAATGGGATTCCCCTCCACCGAGCCACAACGTACTTCGAGAAAAGGCTGCTGCAAGCCGATGACTGGAAATCGTGGAGATGGCTACATTTCCATCAGGGAGCCAGGCTGGTTTTAGCCACACGGAGAACTAGATGAAGTGCAGGCAGAATGTGAACACTTGCACTGAGGTCAGTCCCAGCTCGGCTTCACGTGCAAGGAATACAGAAGACAGCTGACATCCTGCCTTCTGCACAGTCTCTAGAGCAGTACTTGGGGAAGGTACTGGAAAAGCAGCGATACGTTCTCACGTAAAAATCCCCCTTTCCTGCTTTATATTTGCACCCTATTTTCTGGTTCACCAAGGGCTTTCTCCTTGTTGGAAAATGACATCAACCCTCTGATGACAGCCAAGACTGGGGCTAAAAAACCAGAAGGAGAATTATTGGATCCTACGATGATTCCCTATTGAATTTCTTTTTTTTTTTTTCTAATCATGTATACATTTTTTTTTTTTAAAGATTTATCCACTCAT